CATGACCCATGAATGTAGACAGTATGCCCAGAAAAGGTCAGTGGTTGCATTAATTATCTCAGACTTTAGCAGCTGAGGTGTGAGAATGATGGGGAGTGTTTAGTTCTGATGCTGAGATGCACTAACACAGTCACAGTTTTTTGAATATAAGTCTTGACTGGTCGCCTTGAACTGCCTGATGATGTTGTTTTTACTGTGAATATATTTTTTTCATTGCAGACTTGTCAGGCTGACTCAAAAGACAAGAAGGTGGATCAACCACCTCAAGCCAAGAAGGCCAAAGTGAAGACGACCACAGTGGACCTTCCCATTGAGAACCAGTTGGTGTGGCAGATAGGGAAGGATATGCTCAACTTATTCATTGAGAATGAGGTAAACTCTTACTTGACCAAGCTAAAAATGTTACTAGTTGGTCTCCAGAAATGTTGGTGTTCATTAAACAAGGTTAAGGCTGATCAAGAAAAGGAAAAGGAATAAAACATGCAGTTAAAATTCTGATGTGAACAACACTGCCCCATGGAGGCAAAATACATTCCTCCTGTTCAGTGATGGTGTAACTCTCACTGAAGAGCTGTTCTGCAGGAAACCTCCAAAATCGCCTGCAGTTACAAGGTGCAGGTGGCCCGTCAGGTGAAGGTTTCTCAGCTGGAGCAAGATTGTTCGGTTCTGTTTTGGATATTGCACCAAAACTCAAATTGATTTTTATTCATGTACTGTGTTAGAACAGTTCTGTAAATTACAATATTGCAAAATCTTTTTCAAACTTAAACCTTTTCTCGCAAGGTGTCCTGACAATAAATATTAAATAATTAGCTTTTTAGCCAACTAATTTGACAACTTGTTCGCAGGGTAAGATGATAATGCAGGACAAGCTGGAGAAGGAGAGGAATGATGCCAAGAATGCAGTGGAAGAGTATGTGTATGAAATGAGAGACAAACTCTGCAGTGTTTATGAGAAATTTATTGGTGAAGATGTGAGTACTGCTGCTGGATTGTCCTTTGATATGTTGTGTTACCATGAGCAGTTGTAGTTAATAATTTTTGACCTGTATCACACACTGTGCTTACTTATATATTCAGACTTTTAAATTTGAAGAAATAACTTGTAACCTTTCTGGCTCTGAAGATAATCTGCTAAATGGGGCTCAGGCACAAACCACTGGTTCTCTTCCAAAACAGTTGCAGCAATTAAGATGGTATCAGGGTGTGTTTCCAGACTAGGAGCCCTTGCACAATCATTTTAGGACAACCTGTTCTATTTTGGCTCTTTGTCAGTATTTAGGATAGTTTAAAAAAATTAAGACAGAGCAGCCCTACCCAGGAACATAATAGGTGGGATTAGTCTGACTAAATGTGGGCATTTGTATCTGGACTGGTTGCCTAAAAACCTCTTGGCATTATTAATCAGCTTTCCCTGTTGTACCGAAGAGCTGGGTGTGTAATTAATATAATTCCAGCGGGATGAATCACTGGACTCCTGACTGGATCTCCATTGATTGCAGTGGAGCCTTGCCAGCCAAGTGTCTGCAGAGCCCAATACCCACATCAGAGCCCAAACTGGGACATGTCAGGTGACATTTATGGCATCTTAGCTAAAGATAAGTTTCACTCTGTTCTCAGACTTGCTCATATAGTGATGATGAAAATGGGAAGGGGAAAAAAACAAGCCTTCTATGTGACAGTATTGATCTAAACTGTCGGTGTCACAGATGGTTCTTTCTTGAGCCTGGTCTTCACCACAAAGCCATACAGAAGAATATTTTGTTTCTTTAGGATAAAGAGTTTCAGACAGAGTTATTTGGGTTCTAAAAATATAACTCTTCCAGAAAGGTTCCAAGTATCATTTAGTGTCATCTGTCATCTAATAAATTGTCTCACCATCTATTTTGTATGGGTTGCTTCAGGATCGGAATAGCTTCACACTGAAGCTGGAAGATACAGAAAATTGGCTTTATGAAGATGGTGAAGACCAGCCCAAACAAATATATATTGATAAATTGACAGAATTGAAGGTAAGTGGTTCTTACATTCCCATGGGAATTTACTGAAGCTGGAGAACTTTGTTGCAGTGAGGAGCTGTTGGATCTGCTGGTTTGGAGGCGAGCACTGGTGACAAACTGCTTGGTTTGCTTTTTAATTATGCAAGGAGCAGCTCTCGACAGACCCATAACAACACAGGGTTGAGGGAGGCTCAGTCTTCCCTGTAACTGTAGAGAAGAGTCAAGAGTTCCAAGGAATTTAGAAACACTGGTGTATCCTGTCAAACCTTGCAGGATCCCATAGTAATGCTCCATGGATTTTGATACCTTTTGTGCTTTGTTTCAGACTCTGGGTCAGCCTATTCAGGCAAGATTCCAAGAATCAGAGGAAAGACCAAAAGCATTTGAGGAGCTGGGGAAGCAAATCCAACAGTACATGAAAGCTGTTCACGCATTCAAAGCAAAGGTATTTCCACACTTAATTTCTGGAAAATGTAAGGAAATGGTACAGATCTTGCCTGAATTTTAGGTAAGCTGCTTCAGACAAAAAGCTGGTGCAACTTCCTGGCGAGCTTATGAGTGTTTAATAGTTTTTTCGTAAGTGGATATTGGCTTGCAAGCCTGAGTCTCTTTTTTTTTTTAATTAGGTGTTGATTTCCTCTTGGAGGGAGAATGCCAGCAGCAGTAGAACTTCAGGTCTCTGGTTACAGAGCTGTGGGTGATCAGCTCAGTTCCTCTGCTAACCAGAACAGCCTCCTGGCTCAATGGTCTTTAATATTTTGAAGCTAAAAGTCTGAAGAAATAAGGGTGCAGTTTGTGCTCAAACATTCACAGAGCTGCTCCTGCTTTGGCTGTTTCAGGATGAACAGTACGAGCACCTCGATGAAGCCGACATGGCAAAGGTGGAGAAGAATGCAAATGAAGCCATGGAGTGGATGAACAATAACCTCAATCTGCAGAACAAGAGAAGTCTTACTTTGGACCCAGTTATAAAAGCGAAAGACATCCAGGCTAAAACTAAAGTAAGTTTTTCTACATAAATCGCTGTATTTCCATGAATTTTTCTGCTTACTGGTCTAGGTTTTTGTGCTCAGAAAACACCGAGGTAAGAAATCTCAAATGTATTGGGGAACATCAACCCTCAACTTGAATATCCCACTGGTGCTGTCAAAAGTTAAAGTACAACTGTGCGAAGGTAAAAACATTTCTAACAATGTTTTATTTCTGTGTTTTGTAGGAATTGGCAAGTATTTGTAATCCCATAGTCAGCAAACCCAAACCCAAGGTGGAACTGCCGAAGGAGGAGCAGAAGCCGACAGAACCCAACGGACCAGTGGACGGGCAGGGAGATGCCAGGAGCGGGGCCCAGGCCCCCGAGCAGGGCACTGCCCCCACAGCCACCGAGAAGAAGCTTCCAGAAATGGACATTGACTGAATTTCAGCACTTGTTTATATTATTGCAAACTACAATAAAGCTTTAAGTTGTCAACTTTGTATGTTCTGAATCCAAACTAAAGCAAGCGAATCCCACAGCGCTCTTGGTAACTCCTGGAGAGGTTTGGGCAGGGCGGCAGGTCAGAACACAGAGGTAGCAAAGGACTCGCTCAGCTCAGCAGTGTTTGCCGTTATTGATTGTATTTAGAAGTTTTGGTAGTTTAACTAGCCCTATAGGAACAGCCATAACCTGCTTCTCCATTTTTAATGTCCAGGGTGAGTCAACCTTCCTTTGAAGGACAGCGACAGCAACACCTGGAGTCTGATGTTCACATTGCTCTTCCCTTTCCCTGGGGATTGCAGGAGCTGGGACTGCAGGGAGGGAAGGGGAGAGCCCGAGGTGGAGTCTTCCATTGCCTGTGTTTTAGTGTTCATGCCTGCTCTGGACTCACTCTGATTTGCACTGGAACAGTTGATGGTTACAGGAGGTTTGCAGAGCAGTGGCTGGTTCATCGGCACCTTTATTCCTTAGCCCAGACTTCGGATCAGACTCTGAATGTGCTCCTGGACATGGAATTGGGTTTCTGGCAAACTCCCCAGCTAATTAGGCCCTGTAAACTCTTTGTCTCTAGTTAAATTAGCTGCTTTTAGAAAGAGTGAATTCTTGTATTTCAGCTGCCTACGCTGATAGTTGATTCTGACTTGTTCCTAATTTTTTCTGGCAGGGGTATGCTTGCTTCCACGAGGCCTTCATTTGGAATGCTTGGTTTTTTGGTTTGGGGTTTTTTTTCCAGGAAAACCAAGAAGTGATGGATTTGGCTTTTTTTTTTTCTATGAGCTTTATACAATGATTTGCTTCTAGTACTGATTGTTATTAAACTTGCAAACATTAATTTGTATGTGTTAAAATCCAAAGCTGAAAAAACACTCATTCAGTTATTGCAAGAAATAAATGCACTGGATTCTACTGGATCACCTTCTCCAGCTGTTGATTCCGATAGAGAGAGGATGGGGTCGGGGTGGATGGAAGGGCTGTGTCCCTCCTTACGGGAGTGCACAGGGAGCTCTCCGGGGCTGCACGGGGGTTTTAAGGCTTCCATGCCCCCGGGGATTTGGCGGGGTGTGAGGGGTGTCGGTTCAAGCCCACTGTAATCGCAGAACCACGGAACGGCTGGGGTTGGGAGGGACTTCTGGAGTCCAACCCCCCCTGCCCAGGCAGGGTCACCTGGAACAGGAGCCACAGGAACGAGTCCAGGTGGGTTTGGAATGTCTCCCGAGAAGGAGACTCAACGCCCCCCTCCAGGGTAGCTGTTCCAGTGCTCTGTTACCCTCCACGGGAAGAAATTTTTCTTCATGTTGAACTTGAATGTATGAATGTAAAGAAGTATCGCTGATGGATCGGGGGGCTCGGTACCCGTTCCGTGCCTGCCTGGGGCAGGGAGGGGGCGGCCGTTCCCTGAGCACCTCCGGGCTGGGCCGGCCCGGCCCTCCCGGCCGCCGGGGGAGCTGCGGGGCTGGGCCGGGCCGGCGCCTCCTCCGCCCGGCAGCGCTTCCCGTCCTTTCCCGTCCCTTCCCTTCCCTCCCTTTCCCTCCCCTTCCCTCCCCGCCGCCGCTCCGCCAGGGGCTGAGCCGGGCCCCCCTCGCCGTCCCCGGGCTCGCACGGCCGCGGCTGCCCTGGGTGAGGGACCGGGTGGGGCGGGGCCGGGCCGGGCTCCCTCCGCCCCGGGGGCCGCGGGTGCTCCTGCTGCTCCCGCGGGGCTCCCGGCGTCAGGCGGAGCGGTGGGAACGGCGGTAACCGCCATAACAGCGGCGGGGCCGCCGGCGCCAGGCTCGGCCTGGAATTTGGGGGTTATTCCTGAACTCCTCCCGTCCCCCCCATCCCCGTGGGGTCGTGCCCGCTCCGTGCTGGGGCCCCCGGGTCTGTCCGGGACGCGCAACGCGGCCACTGCTCCTCAGGCTGGGAATAAACATCCAGCTGGGAATAATCATCCCCCCTCGGATGCGGTGCTGTGGGTGTTGGGGATGGGAGCGCGGAGGGGCCTTTAACCCCTGAGCGTGTGTTGTTTGTCCGCCCGCAGCCCCAGAACCGCTGGTTCCTCCCACAGACAACACCGACGTGTTCGTGCCTTACATGAGAAGTGCCCGACCCCGGCCCCAAACAGGAATGGTCACGGACCAGCACCTCGGCCCTCCCACCGCGCTGCTGTGAGTCTGAAGGTAATTCATCAAAAGTGGCTTTATTTTCCCAAATCTAGAACTGAGAGATACTCTAGGGGTGCATCTACAATAACAATAATCTACAATACATCTTCAATAACTAATTGCAAATAGGGCTGTTTCCTTGTTTGCTTTAGAACATTGGACAAGAGCTACTGTTACTAATTGCTTTTTCATGTGTTTTTGGGGGTCTGTTTTCTCCTTCAAACATCAGTGAAATGTCCCTGTGTCACTTGTGCTATCTCTGTATTTCATTATTTCTTCCCTTACATCTGTCTTTAGCTACTAACACACGGTTTGCTTTCTGCCTTTTCAATATTCTGGTGTGGGGGGGAGTTTTTTATTTTATAAAGCTACCATTTTTTTTTTCAGCCTCTAAAAAACCTTTAATTATATTTCACATTGATTAAGACCAGTTACTTGGGTTTCTAACTCTTATAGTAGTATAACATAGATATCCCAAATTAATCACTGGAATAGGACGTGTTAACTCAGTTCATGTTGCAGAGTGGTGGTAACTCCACAGGAAAGTTAAATGTCTTCAGAGGACAAGGAAGCTCAGGAGGACGAGCTGTTGGCTCTGGCCAGCATCTATGATGAAGATGAGTTTAAGAGAGCCGAGTCTGTCCAAGGAGGAGAAACAAGAATTTGTCTGGAGTTGCCTCAAGACTTCAAAATTTTTGTGAGTGGTGAGTTGAGATGTTTTGTGTTATCCCCAGGGAGGTTTTACCAAGCTCGTTTGCTGGTTGTGGAGTGTCCTGCAGGAGCAGTGACTGGACAAACCATGGCTCAGCCTTTGCTGTGCTTGTGGTAGCGTTGGGGTTTGTATTTGAGTAGTTTAACCCTTTAGTAAACTTTACAGATGAGTAATAGTATTTCTTCAGAATAATTAAGTTCATTTATTATTTTTTTATTCCCTCGAGGATATGTCTTTCCGTGTTCCTGGTTTGAGCAGGATCTGACATTTCGCAGTTGTGGTGTTCTGCTTTAATTACAGAGCTACAACCCCATGGTATTTTACCACACTGAGTTTAGTTATTTAGGGTCGAACAGATAATTTTAACCCCAGAAACGTATCAAGTTAAAAGAGATTGGGTGCTGTCATAAACAGTGACGGTTCATTAGTTTTCATTTTCCTGTTGTTTCTCAACCTACCTTGGCTGTCTCAGGTTCAGGCAGTTCCACAGAAAGCCTCCAGAGCAGTGGGTTCGAGTACTCCGTGTGCTTCCTGCCTCCCCTCGTGCTGAATTTTGAGCTCCCACCCGACTACCCATCGACATCACCACCTGTGTTCACCCTCAGTGGGAAATGGCTCTCCCAGGCCCAGGTTTGCAGAAGATTTTTAACATTTTGATAGAGCCGAGCAAGTTAATAATTAACAGCGTTCTGGGGAATGGTAATGAAATTAAATAAAAATAATGACATTGCTGTTCAGTTGGCTCTTCTTTTGTCTCCTTCTTGTTTTCACTTGGTCACTGTTCCGAGGAAGAAGAGTTTGCATCGAGGCAAAATATTTTATATGTGTTTTATGGATAGATTAAAAACTGGTGAATCTGTAATCAAAGTGTGCACTATGGACCATGGGAGGAGAGGAACCCAGTAAGGAGCTGTCAGAACTTAACCAAAATCAGGAATTGTTTGTTCTTTTCCAGCTCAGCGCTCTTTGCAAACACTTGGACAATGTGTGGGAAGAGAATCGAGGCTGTGTGGTCCTATTTGCCTGGATGCAGTTTCTGAAGGAAGAAACACTGAGTTACCTGAATATTTCGTCCCCGTATGAGTTAAAAATGTGCCCTCAAGGGCAAGCACAGAGTCGGACGCCGTTGGGGCCTCTCGACCCTGGGAAGGACTGTGGGGGTGCAGCAGGCTCTGCCACAGCTGAGGAGGAAATCATGGATGCCAGAGCTGTGCAGGACGTGGAGTCGTTGTCAAGTCTGATCAGGGAAATCTTGGACTTTGACCAGGCCCAGAGGAGGAAGTGCTTTAACAGTAAGATGTATTTGTGCAATATCTGCTTCTGTGAGAAGCTGGGCAGCGAGTGCATGCACTTCACCGACTGCAGCCACGTGTACTGCAAAGCCTGCCTGAAGGACTACTTTGAGATTCAGATCAGGGACGGGCAGGTCCACTGCCTGAACTGCCCCGAGCCCAAGTGTTCTTCTGTCGCCACTCCTGGCCAGGTAATACACGTGTGCACACGGGGCTGGAGAGTCCTGCTAACTCACCCTCAATTACAGGGACAGAGTGTGGCTCTGCATAGTGAGCATTGGGAATCTCAGAGTCACTGAGGCTGGAAAAGACCTCTGAGATCACAAAGTCCAACCTGTGACCGATCCCCACCTTGTCAACCGGACCAGAGCATTGAGTGCCAGTCATTCCCTGAACACCTCCAGGGGTGGGGACTCCACAACCTCCCTGGGCAGCCCCTTCCAATGCCTGACAACCCTTTCCAAGACGAAACTCCTCCTGATGTCCAACCTGAACCTTCCCCGGCACAACTTTTGGTCATTTCCTCTTGTCCTGTCCCTTGTTCCCTGGGAGCAGAGCCCGACTCCCACCTGGCTCCACCCTCCTGTCAGGGATTTGGGGAGAGTGAGAAGGTCCCCCCTGAGCCTCCTTTTCTCCAGGCTGAGCCCCCCCAGCTCCCTTAGCTGCTCCTTGTGCTCCAGACCCTTCCCCAGCTCTGTTGCCCTTCCCTGGACATGCTCCAGCCCCTTGATGTCTTTCTTGTTGTGAGGGGCCCAGAACTGACCCCAGGACTGGAGGTGCTTCAGTAGTGCCCAGCACAGAGGGAGGATTCTTGGGGACGTTTTCCAGGGAATATACCCGGGGACATTTTCTTCATGCTCTGAGCCACACAGACACAGAGTCATTGGAGTTAAAACTGGATGCCTTGGCACCTATTTTGCCCAGTTTATTAGTACTGGCATTGATTAGCAGCCTCCCATTCTATTTGACACTGCATGCACATTCCATTTAACACTACATGCTTTTCCTTTTCCTAATTATTATTAGAATAGCATTTCTAGGAGTATTTTCATGACCTGTTGGAGAATAAAGTGGATTCATTCCAACTGCAGGGATTTTTTCATTGCCTTACTGTGTTTTGCTGATGGTAGCAGGCTCAGAATTTCAGATGCAAGTAATCATAGAATCCCAGGATGGTTTGGATTGGAAGGGACCTTAAAGCTCATCTTGTTCCACCCCCCTGCCATGAGCAAGGACACTTTCCACTAGACCGAGGTGCTCCAAGCCCCATCCAACCTGGCCTTGAACATTTCCAAGGATGGGACAGGCACAGCTTCTCTGGGCAACCTGTGCCAGGGCCTCCCCACCCTCACAGGGAAGAATTTTTTCCTAACACCTCTCTGTGGCCTTCAGGTGAAGGAGCTGGTTGGAGAGGAGCTCTTTGCCCGCTATGACCGGCTGCTCCTGCAGTCCAGCCTGGACCTGATGGCCGATGTGGTGTATTGCCCCCGCCCGGGCTGCCAGACCCCCGTGATGCAGGAGCCCGGCTGCACCATGGGCATCTGCTCCTGCTGCAACTACGCCTTCTGCACCCTCTGCAAGATGACCTACCACGGGGTGTCTCCGTGCAAGGTCACCGCAGGTGAGGCACCTCTACCCTGTGTTCCAAAGACGCATCAGGGTGCAGTTAAATCTTGTGTGAAATAGTCAGAAATTGAGCAAGCAAACTCCTCCCCGTGAGCTTTCTAAAAGACCAGACACATTTCATTTGGAGTAGGTCTGTTGCTGGCAGTTAAATATTATTCCTTTGATGACAATCCACAGCTTAGGAGGTCCCCAGACTGCTGGTTGTCAAATGCTGAGAGGCCATAGCAGGGGGAGAATAATTTTATATAGGTATTTTTTTTTTACCTTTTCATGTGAATCAACTACTTTGTGTAGTCAGAGTTAATACTGAAATCAGGTGGAAGTTTCTCTCTCTGTTTGGTCTCAAAATCCTGTGACCAAGTTTCATTAAATGTATGTTCAGAGAAAATTCCATTTTCAAAACTTTACATTGTAGACTTGTCCTGATGCCATTGACAAGTCGCTGTTATAATGAAACAGTGTAAAACTCTTGAATTTTGGGGCAGAGGGGTTTTAATATTTTACGTTTTTTTTAATATTTTTCTTGATTTTTAATGAATTATGTTAGTTTCCTTTGAAAATCTTTATGCTGCAATTAGCTGGACTTCTTTATATGATATATTACAAAAGCTGTTTGGTTTGCTTTGGTTTTGTTCCCCAGAGAAATTAATGGATTTACGAAACAGCTATTTGGAAGCAGATGAGGCAACTAAAAGATTTTTGGAACAACGTTATGGCAAGCGAGTGATTCAGAAAGCCCTTGAGGAGATGGAGAGTAAGGAATGGCTGGAAAAGAACTCTAAGTCTTGTCCTTGCTGCGGGACTCATATAGAGGTAAGAATGGAGGGAAAGGATGGAAAATCATGGGAACAGAAATTAACAGCAATTAAGGCAGTTCTGTGTTTAGGCTGGGACAGAGGTGTGTTTGTAGCCTCCAGCTTCACCAGGGAAGGGGAATTTCTAGGAAATATTAAGAGAACTTTCCATTTCTGTCTGTGTTACATGGAAAAGGAGGCGAGGTGATGTTTGTGGAGCTCAGGGATTTGAGATCATCCAGCAATTGGTGGTGTTCAGGCTCCAGGATTAAACAGATCCAGGCTGACTATGGATCTGTATGAATCCTTTCATTTCCTGTGTGGTTCAGGTTACTGCTGCTTCACACTATAGCCAGGAAATAAAACCAGCTTCAGAAAAATATTAATTTCCAGTATTTTTAGTAGTATAGCCAATTTACAATGCTGGGATTCCAGCTCCCAGTTCTGTTGAACAGTGAAAAAAAAAATCAGTGTGTGATGGAGTCAGGGTCGAATGTATTAATTGGCTGGTTTAGTTTTGAGGGCTGTTGTCATAGAGAGACTGAAGCCTGACACAGTAAGATTCTGATGTTGCTGTTTCTTGGTTTTTCCCCCCAGAAGCTCGATGGCTGTAACAAAATGACGTGCACAGGGTGCATGCAGTACTTCTGCTGGCTCTGCATGGGCTCTCTGTCCAGGGCCAACCCCTACCGGCACTTCAATGACCCTTCTTCCCCCTGCTTTAACAGGTTGGTGCTTACAGGTATTTCCTCTAGTGCTGGAACACTTATTTTCTACTTTTTCTGACAGTCTCTCCCAGATTCTTACCTTGAAATTTGTAGCTATAGTTTAAGACATAGTTTTTTCTCCCTTACAAGGACCCAATACTAACAGTAAAAATCAGGAGTGATTCAAGATGTGCTTTTGCTTTTTAAGATTTTTTTTTTTCAAAATTCTGGAGGAGACTTGTGGGCCTATTCCTGATTTTTTTTTTGGTCAGGGTCATGACCTCATCCTTTCCGTGCTGCCTCTGCCTGACACACAGCCTGCAGGGAAGTGTTTCCATGAAGATGCTCAGGTGCAGCATAAGGTTTTGGATCAGAAAGCTGCTTTTAAACAGCTGTAGACTTGCCTCACATCATCACTGCTGGGGAAGGATCAAGGAAAATAGGGTGCTGCTGCTGTCAGGACAGGTGAAAAGGCAGCTCAGAGGGATGTGACAGTGGCAGCCTCTCGGCTTTGTGTATTCCATAGGGATATGTGCCCATCACTGCAATAGTAGTGCCTGGATCCAAAGTCAAAATCCCAACAAATTTCTCAATCCACCATCCATTCTGCTGTAATAGATGTGACTGACAGGATTTTTCTTGTTCTTGGCCCTTTTTCAGCATTTTCTCTTCTCCCAACAGTATTTTTTCACTTCCTACTCTGTTTTCCTTTTTCTCCTGTTGTCCTTTTTTATTTTAGTGTAGCGTAACCTCTCCTTGTCTTGACTAAGCTCCTGTGCTTTATAAAAAGAATAATTTAGAATCAGGGAATCATAGAACCATTTAGGTTGGAAAAGACCTAAAACCATCTAGTCCAGCCATTACCCCAGCACTGCCAAGTGCCTTTTTGTCCCCCCTGTGCCTCTCTGATGCTCATATGTTTTATTTGCCCAATTCCATGTGTCCAATGAGATTGTGAGTTGTCTGGAGCAGGCAGGTTTGGCTGCTGATTATATCCTGCCTAAGGACCACCCAGGAACAGCAGCCTGCTGGGTAACTTTAATATGGTTTGGATGATTAATATTTTCAGGGATTTCTTGGGATATGATGTGTGTAAGGTACCATCAAACCTGCTGGTGTAAGAGCTGTAGAAGTGCAGAGTCTTTTACTTAATTTGGCATTGATATCATGAGTGGTTTGTGATACTGAAAAAAACAGTGAAACTTACTGCTTTTGTACTTTTTGTTGCATTTAGATTGTTTTAAACATATTTAGCATTATTACCACTAATTTTCTGTCTTGCAGATTGTTTCAAGCCATGCACATCGATGATGGGGAGTACTGGGGAGTTGAAGACGATGACCAGTAGCTTTCTCCAGCAACAAAAGGTGAACAAACCAGAGACAGATGCTTTTTTTTTTTGGTGTCCTTTGTTTGCTTTTCACTTCCATTGTGTGATAGAAGAGTGGTAACTACCCTGCACTGCAGGATACTCACACCTCAGAGCCTGTTGCCAAAGCCAAAGGAGACCCCATCCTGGGGTCAGGATCATCATGGAATGCCCTAACAATCACATCGATTATTAAAGACATACCATATTAAATACAACCAGTCAGAAGTTGGAAAATTATTGGAAAAATATATACCAAGAGATGCCCCTTTTTTAAAAGCAAACAGAAGCCTCAAATCATGGAGAGATTTGGGGATTTCTTTAGGGAGACCAACATATGGAGACTCTTGGATCATGAATATTGTGGGGGTTTGGGCAGTTTGTTAGAGCTGTAGAGCTCTTTCTGGAGCTGTTCAGTGGTGCTGCTTGGACTGGGGAAGTTTAGCAACAAAGTTTGTTGCTTTTATGAATTTCCTTACGTGTTTCTCTGAAAAGCAGCTCATGGTTCTGTCACTGGTACTTTCTAATGACATTAAAGCTGATTGTCCCCAACCTCCTTCTCCCTGGCTGTTGTGCCTGGGCCTTTGCATCCCTGAGTGCTTGGGCAGAAAATGACCAACAGCCTTTTCCAGAAATTTCTGTCAGGTTGGTGACTCAACCCAGTGTTCCTGTTGGATTCACTGCCATTGCCTCTCCTTGTTTCTCCAGCGATGAGTGCTAAGGCAGTGACCTGAGGATGTGAGAGGGTGAAAAGTACCAGGCAAAGATGATTCTTCAAGATACTGACAATTACCTTGTATTCTCAGACGACGAAGTAATTTATTTTTATTAACTCTTCACATAAGAAATTTGATTAGTTGATACTTTTGCTTCTGGACTAGATCCCTTGCTTCCACTAGTTTTGGACTTCAAATTATTCAGAAAGCAAATTGTTTTCCCTAAAATCTCAGCAAGTAGTTTTATAAACATGAAGGTGATTACCAGAGGGAACCACTAACTTTTTACAAGTTTTTCCACTTGCAGAAAAGTTTAAAAGTTTATTTGGAAATTAAAGCTACGTGTGCTGTGTTCAAAAGTAGTAGGGCATGGAGGGATAGGTCAGGAGATAGAAGACTCTTCAGAAACTCAAAGTGATCACCTCTCACTCAGTTTTTACTGATAGTTCATAAATTTATACTGGGATATGTGGCCAAAATGAGTGTTGCTTCAGTTCCTTTCCCAGAGGATGAGAGTCTATTCTGTCAGAAGAGGCAGAGATTAAAAAGATGAGATGGTGAGGCTGAATCTCACCTCAGTTTAGGCTATAGGTCAGCGTGTAGGAAAAGTTTACATTGTGTATGATTTGAATTGCATTTCCTGCACCTTTCACATGCACTAAATTCACTTTAAGATGGTAAATACAGTTGTCTCTCTGTTTGTCTTCATTCTGGTATGGATTTGGCAGCACAGGTCAGTGTCCAGGTGGCCATTGGCTCCAGTGTTCGTGTGCCATGGGGCTGTGGAATGGGACAGCCCAGAGCTGGGCTCAGAGCTCCCAAGTGAAGCTGGCACAGCACGTGTTCTGCTCATGGAATTTTGGACATTTATGTATGCAAAGTGCCCTCCCACCCAAAGGGCCCTGGTTTTCCCTTGGAGGTACAAGCCTCTGACTGAGACAGGGTGGCTGTTGCGACACTGCTCTGGGATCACCATGTTGGATGCAGCTGTTTCCCCTCTGGCCAGTTTTTAACTCTCCGGGCTGAATCACAAAGCTGCCTGCCTTTGGAGGGGACTTTCTTCCTGCTGAGCTGTGTATGTGGGCATGGGGAATGTTTGTGACAAGGAGAAACATATGCATAAACCTCCTTATCCTGCCTGGATGGAGGAGATGGCACTGGATCCCCTAAACCAGGACAGAGGTGGGCTGAGGGCAGGGCTGGGATGCCAAAGGGTACATGGGGATGAAAATCCATGGCTGGGGATGTACCAGAGCACAAATAGTGAAGTACTGGAAGATGTAGCAATGAACCACCTCAGCTTTCAAGGACTTTGTGTGGAGGGAGGAGGAGGAGCAATGTAGCCACCACCCTGTCTATAAATTTGGGGACCCCTGGGCTGGAGTTTCCAGATTCTGCAGCAAGGCAGAGGAGGACAGACCCTCTGGGCAAGGGACAAGCAGATGACTGCACATGTAGGACAATCAGCTGGTGTTGCAAAGGCAGGACAGCTAAAACCAGCATCTGCCTGTAGAGAGAGCAAAGCAGCAGCTCTGGCAACAGAGTGCAGATTTTCTCCCTCAGTCTTTTCCCCTCTTGAAAACCTCACTTTCACCATTTCTGTGCACGCAATTAAATTATTTATAAACACTTTGTGGTACCAGGTAGAGCTGTGGCCTCCTCCTTTCTCCTTTAAAGGCCCCCACATTTCATGTGGCATGCCTGCTGCCTGGCAGGACAGAACCATAGCAGGTGTCTGGTGGAAACCTGCCAGCAAACACTGGGCAAGGAAGTAGGGAGCTATTCCTACCAAACTGCTTCCAGGACAGCTTTGGTTTCGCAAGCACAGATACAGTCAATGCCACCATTTAGAAAAAATTAAAGATGTTTAGTCTAGAAAGTTGCATTACAGATCAACAGCTTACAAAATTTCTGCATAAAGAAAATAAACACTGGTCAGTTTTCTTGCCCCTCCTGTGGTAGAATTGGATGGAATCACATATCAGAATTAGTGGGGTCTTGCTAGTACAGGCTGTTGTCCACCCATGTGGGACTTCTGTTATTAAAGAGAGGCTGAAGCCAGTGGGAACAGAGCATTTCCTTGGAGGCTGGTTTGGCATTTACTCAGAGCAATGGAAGGTTCTGCAGTGAGGAGAGAGAATGTATTGCTTCAGGCTCTGCCCTGTTACAGTGAACAGTGCTGAGCACAGAGTGGTCACTTCTGCTTCATCTGAACAAATCTACCCTTCTGAGTACTTCATAAAGCACCAGGGCATAGAAAGTTATACCCTGGGACTGAACATGAAGGGCTTCTTGTGTGACATCAATAACATCCTCAGATGCCCAAACTGCATGATTAACCCTGTGTGGGTGAATGCTGCTGTAGCCTCCTGTGCTGAGGTGATTGCAAGTCCAACATCTGGCTCAAAGCAGGGCTCAGCCAGGGCTTTATCCAGTCAGATTTTGGAAACAGCTTCTGGGGAATCTGCCCCATTGCTTGGCTGTCCCCATGGGGAGGTTTTATCTTTCTATCCAGCCTGAGCATTGTGTCTCCACTCAGGTCCCACTGTGTCTTCTCATCTTCCTCCTGGCTCCATCTTCTCACTGACCCCCTCTGGCTCCGGGGCTGCTCACGTGAAGCTTTCCCTTCTCCACTTGGACAAGTTTGCTTCCCATTTTCCATTAGTCTAATGCAGGAGTGTTTCATGGAGAAAGAATGACACACGAGGTACTTGTCCTAATTACAAGGAATACACCCCAAAGTGATTACCCACTCGGTTTGTGTTGTACTTTCACTTATCCTCACATTTCAGTTTTGCAGCCTTCAGTCCAAGATTACAGTCAGTTCATAGATCAAACAACTCATCCTTCACTGACTTCACCTTCAGAGAATGAGTTAGTGACAGAAGTTTGTGGAACACAGTGCACTGGATCCATCCATTTGGTTAATTAAGGCAGGTGTTTGGCATCTGTCTCTTTAATGGAGAGAAGCAACCATATGACCATTCTGGTAATTTGAGAACAAATATGAGATCAGTTTTTGCAGAAATTCCCTTTTTTCCCCAGCTATTTTCAACAGCTGGTTCAGCACTGCCCCGAGCAGATCAGTCACTGTATGGCTTCTTAGACTGGCTCCTCTCTGCTCCCGTTTCCTTCATGCTGTACAAGGGCTCCACGAGCTTGTTGTGAACCAGCATTAAACCTGATGGAGAAAGTAAAAAGATGATTTAAGTAGATATAATAAAGCAAAATTGTCATTCATTGGATGCTGATGAAATTAGACATTACTGATGTCCTTGTTCCTTTGCCCTTACACCTGAGCACTTACACATTTACCTTCACGCTGATTACTGTGGCATATTTAAGGAATATACTCCTTTGGGAGGTGATTACACAGAAACATCTAATGCAAAGCATGGCTTGTACCACTTAAAAACTACCAAAAGAGCTGCCTGGCCTGGTCAAACACTCACCTTTAAAGTATTTCACTGTCTTGACCCTGAGCTCCAGCGTGGCATCCTCGTCACACACGAACACGGTGTTGGGGTGCTGCTGGAAGGCAGACACTGTCCACATGTGATTGATGCCTTCCTCGATGGCTTTGTACAAAGCAAAGGCTTTGTGGGCTCCTGTGATCAGAATCATCACCTGCACCCCAAGACACAGAGAAGGGCAGTCAGGGTTGTTGCTTCAAAACAGGATAACTTTTAGCTGCTCCAGAGCTACTATAAGAACCACTGCTTTTCTCCTAACCTCTCTGGCATCCATGACAGTGCCTACTCCGACTGTCAAGGCCATTGTGGGGACTTTGGAGAGGTCACCATCAAAGAATCTGGCATTAGCCAATATGGTGTCCATGGCCAAGGTCTTCACTCGTGTCCTGGACACCAAACTTGATCCCGGCTCGTTGAAGGCAATGTGACCATCCGGGCCAATACCTGGGACAGAGATAGCGGGAGAAGAGGGTCAGCTGTAGGAGCAGAGCTAACAGCTCTCCCACAAGAAGGACAGTCAGTGCTTCCAGAAACACAGATCTGAAAAAAACACCTGCAATTCTTCTGGTCAAGCTCAAATTTGTGTCTGGTAGAATGACAGCAAAAGGCCCCTCTGAAGTCAACAGACTCTTCCCTAACTGTGCTGGGACAACAATAAAGCAAAGTAGGTGGCAGAATCTCAAGGCAAACTGATGGGAGAAGTTTGTGCTCCTGTTGGCTCAGAGGACTCTACTCCCAGGAGTTTCCTGTCAGCACTGACAACTATAATACATTTTGCATTTGTATCATTCTAGCTCTTCCCATTTCTTCTGCTAATCATTTCCTGAACAATTCAGTGACTAGATTGAAAAACAGAAAACTGTGGGAGCAGTACATTGGGAGACAAGGCTGCCAGCACACATCAGTGCCCAGGGTGGTGGACTGTGGGGTGCCTTTCACTGCAAATCCACTGAAAGACACTGGAAGTGAACAATCCTGCCAATTCTCACCTCCAACAAAGAGTTCAATTCCTCCAGCTGCTTTGATTTTCTCCTCAAATGCATCACACTCTGCCTGGAGATCAGGTGCATTTCCATCCAAAATGTGGACATTCTCTGGTGAGATGTCAATGTGCTTAAAGAAGTTTTTCCACATGAAGGAATGGTAACTTTCTGGGTGATCCCTCGGGAGACCTGGTAACAGAGCATGCACAGGACTAAGACAAACTGGAAAAACATCATAACATAAAGCACTTCCATACCCTTGGAGTGGCTTTGGTAATGGAGCACTGATCTGTCTGTCCTTTGTCACTCCCTCAGCTTTCACGAGTTGTTTCTATTTTCCTAAATAGCAGAATTAAGGTCAATCACAACAGCTCCTATAAGACATGTGCCCATATTAACACGCAGCAGATTTTCAGAAAAGCAGGTGTGTACCGTGCCTCATCTGTCAGTACCTTTTCAGCCTTCCTCCCACTTCATATTAGCAAGAGTGATTAAAAAAAAGTGCAAAAACCTGAGAAATAATAATAATTATATCAGTATTGCATATTTTCCCCCTCAAATGCTATAAACCCACACTGGGCTGGTTATTCCCTAATGCTGCTTGATTAGGATTGTTCACAGAAAAAATTCTTGACCGGGGTAAAATTAGTATTAGCAAATATTTAGCCTGTACGTTTTTCACCTTTGGATCTCTCTTTCTTCCAAAGAGGCTCTTTCATCACGGCTTCAGAAAAGAAACAGTCACCTGCTATCTTAGCACAGGTTACTGAAGGGCATTCAGGGAACACACTGAGTAAGGGACCTGAGCTACAGTGACCTTTATAATCCCAGAGCAAAGGTGGTAGTTAACGCTGCACACTATCTGAGCCTGCAATGACAAGCTGGTTCCTTACCTGGTCAGCACGTCAGTGCAGATAAAATACAGCAGTGTCTGTAATAGTGTGTGTAATACAGCCAACATCCAATACCCTTCAGTATCTGGGGTTTTTTCCATAGGTTTTCAAACCTATGGAAAAAATTTCAAATTTCTTCCACAGGTTTTTAAATTGTCCCCATCATTATCTTGGCTAATTCCCTGGAGGTGTTTAAGAAAAGACTGGACGTGGCACTTCAGTGCTACAGTCTGGTTGATAAGATGGTGTTTGGTCATAGGTTGGACTCAGTGATCTCAGAAGTCTTTTCCATCCTAACTGATTCTGTCATCCTGTCTTTCTATGAAATGTTGTTCCA